AAACATATATATATATATATATGTATATATATATAAATTTTAGCTTTAATCTTTCTCTTTTCTTGACGCATGTTATAAAAAAAGTTAAAATTTCAAGTGTTTTCTGTGTTATATAATTGAGGAACAATCTCAATTAAATATACCAAAATAGAGCAAGTCAATTAAAGAGAATGGAGAGAAAAATAGAGCAAGTTAATAACAATCATTTACGTATAGAAGTTTCACCAAATAGGAGAATGGAATGGGAACAGTAGTACAATATTATATATAAGTAGTAGTGCAATATTATTAACAATAGAAAAAAATGGAGAAGACATGAGCATAGAAAAAAAAAAGATGAAAAACTCACTTTGAAATTCTTGAAGCACTTGAAAAGTCACTTCAAACAATCCTCCAAAATCTTGTGGGTTTGGATGAGATTGTTTTATGAATTTGGTATTTATAGATACCACTAAAAAGTCCATCAAAATCCCTCTAATACAATAATCCTTTAAAATTCCTATATTTTTGAATACCAATGATTGTTTTTAAGTTGTAAAAAGTCTCAAATGAATATCAATGGATTTTAATGGACTCTTTAAAAAATCTTGAAAATCCTGATTGAATACCACTAGATTGTTTTTAGATGACATAAAATCCTGATTGAATACCAATAGACTTTCTTACTCAAAAAAAAATCTTTTAAAATTCTATGAAATCCTAAACCAATACAGCCCTTAGTATAGTTAATATATCTTTAAAGAAACATAAATATATTAGGTATGATATAGTCATACGGAAACATCCAATAAAATTGAAAAGATATGATGTAAATTTAAAGTTAGGTAAATAAAGTATACAAATTAGATACTCAATACTTATATTATTAGTGTATACTTATATCAAATATTATATATCTATATTCTTTAAAAATCTATTAGTATATACAAATTTATATTTATCAAATTATTATTTTACCTATAAATGCTCTAATAATATTATTATATTAATTTATTAATAATATTATTATTGCTAATCACATATATAAATTTTATGTATTTAGTAATGGTAAATACATGTCTTTTTTTATATAAGAGTAAAATTTATAATTCATATAACTTAAATCTGTCAACAATTATATAAATTTAAAATATTTTAAATATATTAATAATGCTTTATCAATAATATTATCAATACCACTTATACATATTTTTATTTAATAGAAATAAATGTATGTGCAATTTTGGTTTCTATTGAAGTATATATATAACTTTCATTTGCATATTTATAAAATTACTTAATTCAACAATTAATTGTTATCTTTTGTTGGTAAGGGTATCAGAATCAATTCTCATCTTCTATATTTTGACAATTTTTCAATTTTATTTTCATATGACACTTCATCATATCATGTGTATGACATTCACATAATTAAATTCAACGAATATTGTTAATTAAGACTAAAATTACATAATTATTATAGGGGTCTTTAAAATTGAAGCAATCTAAACGGAAATTCAAAAACTGAATAAAAAATTAAAAATTGATAGAAAATTAAAAAAAATTAGCAATTTTTTTAATATTTTATTTTCTTAAACCGTACAGTTCGATTCGATTCACAATTTGAAAATGTGAAACTCAACTAAATCACACTTGTAAATATGTTTTAATACATAATTTAGATACATGACAATGACACATAACAAAAAAATTATAAAACTGTAAACTACTAAAATATTTTTTATTTTCCCAAATACACAAAGTAACATGGTAACATATTTGATTTAAAAGGTGTTTTATAGATTAATAAGCTACTAAATTGAAATTTAGGATAAAATTGCTAACTATTTATAATATTTAAAAATAATTTATTTTAAGTGACATGTTATATATATGAGCAAAAAGTATTTGATGTGATAATAAAAATTCATTTAAATAAAAATTTTCACTAAAATAATAAGATAATGATCGGTGCTAAATAATAAAAATATATTGAAAAATTAAATTTTTTTAATATTCACATATTTTTAATGTTATTTTCAACTTATGAGTCTTAAACAAATAACATAAATATTATATTTTTAATTAATTTTTAAATAACAAACTTTTAAGATCACAAAAATTGATTTAAAATAAGTCGCACAAGATTAACTTTACTTAATTTAAATGACTTTTAAACCAAAAAAATCAAAATCAAATCGCACCAAGAAGACCCTTATTTAAGGGTCCACAAATATAAAGTTAACAAAAACAAAAACTTGTTTTTAAGTGAATGAATCCCCCATTCAGATAATATAACTAACTTTTATATGTGAATTTAGAATAATTCTAGTAGTTCAAATTTTAATTATATCTTAAAAACAAATAATATGAATATAATTACAATATCGTATTATAAAATACATTAATATTTATTGAATATAAAATCGTCAAAATTAGCTTTGAGAGAAGCATGTTATTAGACCATAACAAACTATGAATTGCCCAACCAAACAAAATTTATGCTCAAAAAGTTCCTGTCAGATATGAAGGTAAGACAAGCAGTTACAAGATTTAACACAATTGCGGTCACAACCGGAATCACATTTTTGACATGTTATTTTCTATTTTAAAAAAAATCTTTTTAAATAAAAAAATTGTCAACTAAATTATTTCTCCCGAGTAAACTGATTCAAACATAAATTTCATTCTTGTGTTTCATGAACACCACCTAAACTTGTACTTAGATCAACGTTAACGGCATTCAAAATTGGTTCACTTTAAAATTTTAATAGCCTCTTGCCACATTAATAATTACATTCATACTTCCATACAATAACGCTTAGTAAGTCCAAGAACATGTTTGTTTTTCTCTTTCATTACACATTGAAATCTTTGCCTCCTGCTCTAAGTTCACAAGATCTCTCCAAATGACAAGTTGTCTTCAATCCTAAACACCGCAAAATTTGACAACCAGAAAGCACACGGGAACTATGAATGTTGTATTCAAATGATGACTGAAACCTATCTATTCCTATATAAATTCCACCTAAGATGCCATATGGTCGTTGCCACCACTTCAATAATCATATTAAGCATTTGAATATTTCATGCAACTGGAATTTTTGGTTCTCCTAGGTTCACAAAAGCCTCTGCCCAAGTCAATCGTTCCGCTGCAGCATTCCAAGACACAAGGTGGTTCATGAATACATCCACATACTTTGCTCTATCATTCTGTCCAAGAGTAGCACAATGATTATGAAGTTGATGGCTTTTTAGAAAGGAGAAAAATTGGGTACAATATTATAAATATTATTGATACTATTTTTCAATTAGAATTAGAGTTTCACCTAGGTAAGATGAGCAAATGTATATTATCAAGATCTGTATTAAATATGAATGCATATTACCATAAAACTCCAATTCTGATTGAAGAACAATACTCATGGTATTGTACCTAAGTATTTGAAAATAACCAATGATCTATGATGGTTACATACCCTGTAATCCAGATAGTATGCATGCTGCAGTAAAGAAAGAGAGTCAGTTAATGATGACCTTATAAAAAGAGGTTTTCATTATGTATTTTGCATGTGCATGCTTGTTGTTTTTGCGTTGTAGGCGAGACAAAGAGAGAGGCATACCTCCCACAAATCCAAATTGATAATTGGCTGCAAGAGAAAAGATGATTAACTCCATTTCCAATATTAAATCAAATATTTTATGGAGGAAAGTGGAAATTAACTTACTATGTCATCCCACACAATTGGGCAAATGGCATTTGAAGTTTTGACTATGGCTAGCCGTTTCTCTTCTCTCTTCACTGAAATAGCCAATGAATACTAGCATCAATCACCCGCATCATTAAAGCAAAATATAAAACAATGTTACATTTAGTTCTACTCTATCCCACAAATCTTACAATGCAATTGTTCTTGAACTAAACCAGCTAATGAGGAAAGAATAGTTACAACCACAATCACAGAATTATTGAATATTCTCAATTAGTATTTAACAATCACTCCAGAAAAAAATAATAATAATAAATGAGGCTCTTATTTTTAAATTTTACATTTAATACATTTAACTTAGACATGTATATCATAAGGGAAATCCAAGGATTTTATGGAATATTAAGAAAATAATATGTAATTTGAATAATTTGAACATTATTTTCGAAGGATTGGGAGAACACAGAACGAAGGATCAATTAGGAAATAGGAATGGACTTACAAACTAGCCAAACCCAACCAGAACCAAATAATGTTAGGGCAGCTCCTATAAATTTCTCTCTAAAATTTATAAATGATCCGAAATCCTTTTCAATCTGTTGAAGGAGACCTAGTGTGGGCATATTACCCCCACCTGGCTGCATGGATTCCCAGAAGAAGTCATGATTCCAAACCTGAGTGGAAGGGGCAAAAAATAATTAGGAGACAACGATTGACATAAACAACATATAAATATAAAAGCACATAGAAACCACAATTATAATTTCATCGTTATCACCAATCAGATGACAAGTCAAGATTAGTTTCATCACACAGTTAGGACAGACTATTCCTAACATCAGGTCAAATACAGAAAATGCAAACAACCAAATAAAACTTTGATAAATATTTAAAGAACAAAAAGAATACAATCTAGAGAAGAGAAAATGGTGCAGGAACTACAAGAATAAAGATTAGTTTCAGACTATTTATTTAATACTTTTATGGGGATAGAAACTTGGTATCTTTATCGCAGAAATACAGGGGATGAACTTCCTAATTTGTAGAATAGAACATTCACATACTCACGCACAACACTATTAGACTTAGTGCATGTATCAATGGTGGGTGATCCATTTAGACATTCACATACTCTCTTCTTAAAAGTCCATTTAGACATGTAGAATTTAGGGTTCCTAGAAAGCTTCTAGGATAAGCACCTTGTGAACAATTCTTTGTTCCTTGGCTTAGGTACTTCCAACTCCAAAATTCTTTGCGTCTTCAACTCTTCTCTTGGTCCATTCACATCTAGAATTCACTCAAGGAAGATCCACGAAGCTAGGAGCAAGCCTTTTCAAGGAATTGTCCATCATTTCTCCTAGATCATCAAGTTGAAGGGGCTAGTGCAGAATCAGCCCACGTGAGCAGCAGGGTTCCCAGAGCGCGGTGGCATGTTAGGATTCAATTGCAAGGTAAGATACTTCAATTCCACATTGGAAGTATGGGAGTTCTAGTGTGGGGTTTATAAGCCATTGGCTCTTCAACTACATGAACTAGCTTTGAGGGGTGGTTCTCCTAAGGTTTCTTATCACTTAGACTCTCAGGCAGGTTTTCTCATATTGACCAAGGCAGATGCCAAACTTCCCATAGCATGTTCACCGATTATACATCACCACAAACATAAGTTAATATATTTTTAGTTTGTAGACAACTTTTAGAGCCCTAAATTTTAATAGAGGAAAAATAAAAGTAACAAGAGACACAGATAATGGGTAGACAAATAGCCGGAGAGAAATAAAGCATCAAAATTGAAATTCTCAAAAAGTACCAGATAAATTATTTTTCTCTAGGTTGGAATTAAGAAAAACTGTGCATTGGGTACTGGGTACCCACCCTCAAAGATATTGAAGTTTTATAAGTAATAATTGTCATGTTCAGTTCCTATTCTATAGCAATAGGCCAGTAACATGTCAAAATATTGTCCCTATCTTGTGATAAAGCCAATATTATCCTAGTATTTCAGAATAATGAAGCCCTCTATAAGAGCATCTTTGGAACATCATAAAATCCCATCAACAATAAAAATCACATCAAATAGGTTCAATTGATGGAGAAGCTACTCCTTGTTGTTTTTGTTAGATGAGGAGAGAGAGTAATGATCCTCATTATGGATTTGATTCCAAACACACAAACTTTTGAAGCTAAAAGATGAAATTTTACACTTTGAAAGTGTTAAATTAAATATTTCCCTTTATTTATGTATTACGAAGATTCACTCTCACATTGAATACATGTAATCAATTATTATACCATTGCTTGATATATATAATTTCATATAGTTATATTCCCCAACAATAAAATTTCTGTTTATTTCTTTGAATAAAAATAACTTGGAGTACATTACATTTACTTGAGATTTATCTAAACTAATCTCACCTGACCTCTTCAACTTTTCTTTTTCAGTCATAATATACCATTATACAACAGCCTTGCATAGAGACAAAAATAAATAAATAAAGAAAGTGGGTGTAATTTCTGAAGAAAGATGATAGATGAGTGTGATTCTGCAAATCTTTGGGGATGGTTAATATTGTCCACATTGTGTATATCTAATTTTACTATATAATATACACCGGAGCATTTTGAATAGTTTTATGAATAAGGGAGCAATTTCATAATCAATTTAAAATGATCCAAGCCAGAGAGCAATCAATCTAATAAGTACCTCAGCTGCATTGTTGAATTCGGGGAACGGATTCCCATTGTTGTATGTCACTTTGACTAGTTCATCCAAGGTGTAACCATATAGTATATCATCCTTTTCTAGCTGTTTGTTCAAACCTTCTATAAAATTCCGATGATATTCACCCCAGTGCATGTCAATTGTCCTCTTACTCATATATGGCTCTAAGGCATCCTAAGAAATATTGAAGCAGCAAAACAAAGTCAGAATTATCAATTATGATAACAATGATATAAAGGGCCCACTAGTGGCTGCTTTGTGTAATAATGAGTATCCAGTTTATGAGTCACAAAAGGGTTATAGGATTCCTAATTATCAATTTGTCACATAGGCTATAAGTCTTATAAAAATCTAATAGCGTCAGTTTACATGATGAATGGAAATTTTATTGTTTCTCCTACTCTGCCCTCCTTAAAAAGTTATAACTAGTTGTCATTTTCCTCTCTTGCTATCTCTGAATGTTGATATATTTTGCACATGCAGCAAAACGTAATACCTTGTTTCCATTTTATCCAAGATAGAGACAAATTAATTGAAGGTGTTGAATAAACACAATGGCTGTAATAAAAAGAAATTATCCTAGAGAAATAAATTTTCACATAAATAACTTTTGGAAAAGGGTAACTTACACTTTAGAGTTCATTGAAGGTTGGATGTAATTGTTTCATCATAAACACAACCTTCTATGTAATGACATCCCTTGGTCAATTATAATATTCTTTTTCTCAATTCCTGGTTTCTTTCTTCATCATTATAATGGCTTAAGCTTAAGTGGCAATAGTCAATGTAAATACCTATGCAATTATTTCTCTGATAAGCTTACTGCTGAATTAGATGCCTCAACTAATCCAAGCATATAGGCCAAAACAGTATAATTACCTTCAAACAAAAATATGATTCAGGAAATGGAGTGAATAACTTACAAGTTCATAAGGAGGTGTCTTCAGGCCATAAAATGCAGTAATTTTTGAGGATCTAGGTGAACCATCAAACCTCTTTTTCTGCTTAAAATACAATGAGGCAAACATGTCAGCACAAATAAGAAAGGAAATTGTCTTAGGGAAGAAATCTCCTGTGAGAAATCAGGTTTCAGCAATGATATAAAATCAATTCTAATCTATATAAAATAATAATTAAAAAAAAAGATCCATGGCTGATAGTGAAATTTATTTAGCTTGCTCGAATGCTTTAGAAACAAACCTCTTTACAATGTTCTATGTTAAGATATGATGCTATCCCAATAGGAGCTCCACATTGCCATAAACTTTTTTAAACCAAGAAACATATATAACTGACAGAACATATTTATCCTAAAAAAAACCAACACTATAGAGTCTCACCATTTCCAACTTTATACCTATTAGATAATTACATTCCTTGCAGGATTGAAATTTATATATTACTTCTTTAAAGAAAATGTTTTGAACTTCAATACTGGAAATCCCCATAAGGCAATGGAAACTTTGCAATTTTAGGCCTTAACTTTGTAGCTTTATCTGTTTCTATTTCCATGAAATAGAGTAATAGCCCATGCATTTTAATGTGGAACATCAGGCTCGCTCAATTCAACAATTTATCATGTCTTCCAAAAAAAATTAAATTGCTTATTTTATTGTCTGTAAGTAACATCATTTATTAAAAATAATCAAAAGACAGGCATAACAACAAAAGACTAAATGCAGACAATTACCCTTAAGTCCACGCATGTTCATGTTGTTAAGTATATTACCAGAAAAGCTACCAAAAGAAATTACAATATTTTAAAGGGAGAACTTATCAGCAAGAGATTGACACTAAGACAACAAATATCAGCTCAAGAAAGTTACCTTGTGAAGAAGCTTTGGAATCTTGAATTTTCTAGATAAATCTGCAGAAATGAGCTGAGAGCTAATAGGGATAGGATTGAAGTAACAGGACGCCATTGCAACTTTGTTACCTAGCATTTGCATAAGCATATCAATGCATAATTTAGAAGTTGATTGCATCCAAAAAAACAACCATTATGACCCAGACTGTAGATCTAAAGCGACAATGACACAGTTCTCACATCAGGATTGAATTTTCAGTTTTCACATTTTAGACAAACAGCAATACTGTGGAGACTAGAATCCGACCCATGCCATCGCCATACAAAACTGATGCCAGCCTCCACCTAAAACCCAAGCATATGTGTTTCCCTCACATGTAGAAAAGAACACAATTCAATAGACTTTGATCCAAAGATTCACATGGAATCAACAATTGATTCCAGATATTAAGTCTCAGTCAAACCTAAAAATGCATCTTCCCCGCTTTGTATACACAGGAATGATACTCATAATTGCAACAGCAAAAGTTGGTTTTTGAAGCAGTGTAACTGTGAATTCTCTTCCCTAAACACTCAGAGACAGGCTAAGCTTTATAGTTCACATAGGGTGTGTGCTTCAGTGCATGAAGGTTGTGATGGCAAATAGACTGGGCAACAACAACACCAGCACAAGATCTCAGAATGTAAACCGAAAGCTGTTGTGACTTGTAATTTCACCCAAAACCATACAACCAAAGAATATAAAGAGTCTATTTGAATACAAATTAAAAGCAGTTTTGAGGGTTTCTCTACTGAAAATTTTTCAATAGAGAAACTTACAAAAACTCTTCTAAGCTTGTATCCAAACATCCTCAAACATATAACATATGATCAAGTTTCCTGTATCCCTAAAAGAAAAACAATAACAACATTACAGACCTTTGAGATAAGGTTGTAAAGCACAGTTAGAAATGTTCACTTAGGCATTTAAGCAAGCACTTGTCGTGCTTATGAACTTGATATTTTAGTGAGACAAGAGACAACGTCCATCATATAAACCCGCAATATGATGGTGAACCATAGGCCAAGGAAGTGAAGGGATCTGTGCAAAGACACCAAAGCTGCCACCTTTGTCCAATGCTAAACCACCCATCTTCTCTATAAATTTTTACTTAATATTAGATAAGATTTGAACATGTGTAAGCACGTTGTAGAGTAGAAAGTTGGGTTCAAAAATGAAATGGCAAAAAGGTAGAGACATCACTTGCAAACCCCATGAAAAGTTCAAGGAAATAAAAGTGATTGGTAGCCGAAACAAAGAGAGAGAGAGAGAGCAACACAAAAAACATGAGAAACGAAAAAGACAACAGAAAACCCAAGTTGCAGAGAGAAACACTAAACCGAAACACAGGAAATTCAGAAAGGGAGAAAGGAAGTTACAAGAACTGCTAAGGGTGTTTGTGCTACGGTGATGTCGACAGAAAAACAAAAATGAGCAATGTCTTGAAACTAAAGCTTCTCGAAATGTTATAGTTCAGTTGTTTCCTGTTCATGTGAATAGAGGATAATGCATACACACTACTGCACAGGTGTATATATTTCTTATGAGTTATGCTACACATTCCGAAAATTTGTCCGAAATATCCGCCAAAATTTTAAAATATTAATATTTTATAATAAATTTATTATAAAAATTATTTAATTAAATATTTTATAATTTAAATTATTATTTTAATATTTCAGAAAGAATTCGCAACACATTTTTCGGAGGAACAATCATTTTCCATTTCTTATCTCTATAAAATATAAATAATAAATATTTCTTAATCACACTACTGTTGGCCTTGCCATGAAAAAAGTATTCAATCCAAATAAATCTAAATAGATGCTACCATTAACTAGCCACATTAGAATTCGAATCCTATATTAGGTATGAAATAGATTTATAAACTATGTTGGATGAGAAATTTCATAATTTATGTCATTTCCATTTCCAATATGAGAAGTTAGTTATTGCATCATAATAATTTTTTGGCAAACCCTTTTTAATGGGTGTGACGTCCAATAACATTTGGCAAATAAAATCTAAGCATTGATTAGGAACCTTCCAATTGGATTTGTAAGCTAACAACCTCACACACATAGATAATTTAGACTCGGATGCCCCTTCATACAATGGCTTATTTGCCTCTAGCAACAAGTTATAAAATTTTTAAGTTTCTTCATTTGGAGACTCTTCCATGTCATGTGTATCTCTCGGTTCAAATGTCTGTTGTTGCTTAAAAGCATCACACACCATCTCTTGCATTGACATAAATTGATCACCTTGTGCCACATTTACACCACTACTTGATGCATTCATGCAATTATCATCAATATCTAAATCAATATTTGGCATCTCTTCACCATGATCTGTCCAAATCCAATAATTAGGCTTGAACCCATGTTTATAAAGGTGAACTTTCACAACTCTATCCTCCAAAATCCGTGTGCAATCACATTTAACACATGGACATATAATCCCACCATCACTATGAAAACAATCCTGTTGACGAGCCTTGTTTACAAACTCATCTACCCCTTGTACAAAAGACTCTTTCAAACCTTTTCTACCACTATAACACCTATCGTACACCCAAGCACGATTTGAAAGAAAATAATCCATATTCTGTAGATTCAAAAAATTTACCTAGTTAATTATCACATTATATAATTGTCAACTAATTTAGTTACGTGGACCTCTATATTTTATAAATTGAAAAGCAGTACAATAGTTATATGTAAAGTACAATATAGTCATATTACAAAATAGTAAAATTTAATTATAAACACAAGCACAAAATATAAACAAATTTCAGTGCTTTCCAAATATTAGTCATTGCCTCAATATCATGTATGTATACTAATAGTTTTTTCTCTATCTATAAACACAAAAAACAAAATTAACAAGCATACCTTGAAAGTACGTTGAAACAATTTATTTCCTCTAAGTTAGAGTACAACATCCACTAGAAGAATTTAATAGCAAAAATCTCGATCTGTTAATAAAAAAATTGAAATATAATTTATATAAAATCGGGGAACAAATTCAAAACATTTAATCAGAATCATATTTGCATCCGGAACGGCCCGTTCTCCGTTCGGAACGGCCCGTTCATCATCCAGAACGGCCCGTTCTTCATCCGGAACGGCCCGTTCTTCATCCGGAACGGCCCGTTCTTCATCTGGAACGGCCCTTTCTGCAACACGGGTCGTTTTAGATGAAGAACGGGCCGTTCCAGATGAAGAACGGGCCGTTCCGGATGAACAACTAACACAAGATGAGCATAACGGCCCGTTCTGCTTGCAGAAAGGGCCGTTCCAGAAACAAAAAATGGGCAAAACACAGCATAAACGAAATGTAAGAAATAAAGAAAGAAAAGAAGAAGTTGCATCAATAATAATGAGACCAAAAGCTTCCTATCTATCAACAAAGGAATCATCTGCAATGAGATGAGATCACAAGAAGCCACAAGGAACGGAGAGGAAAAACTTCCTTTGCCACGTAAATGAGACCAGCTGCATCTACAAGGCCTTTAGGCATATAAAACAAAAGACACACCTTTTTTTTTTTGTCAAAATATTTATTAAATATATTATATTAAATTTTTAAATCAATTTTAAATTTTATCTATAATTATTATAAAAAATATATTAAGGTTATGTAATTATTTTTTGTCTCCACTTTTTAATAGATCATTATATTTTTTGAATATAAAAAAAATAAGAAATTATTACGGTACTCTCAAAAATTGAGGAGTTTTAATGTATTCTTAGAATGTAAACTCATAAAAAATTTAAAAAAATTAATTTTATAGATAATCTAAATTATATTTATAAAATAAAAAGTAAGATAAAATTATAGAGATTAAAATTATAAAATTTCAATAATATTATAAAACATTAAAAAAGAAAAGAATTAATAAATAATA